CCCTGTGTCGGTGGAGCAACCGTCACTTCTTCTCCTGTCTCTTATACACATCTAGATGTGTATAAGAGACAGCACACACACACACACACACACACACACACGAGCAAAAGAAAACGCAGCACCAGACCTGACAGGCCTGTAGACAAGAATACATTTAAAGTGAGATATGAAAAGAATTACTGGGTGGGAAGTGAAGAGCAAGGTTGTGAGGAAGAAGGATTTTGCGCTACCAGGCACACTCACATAACAGAGGAAGAAGTTACAAATCCGCCAAGATGAGATGATAGTGCACAGATAAACAGAGCTGACGTGATGAAAAGGAACTGGGGAAAGCAAGCTTCCTTCCAGCAATACCCCCTTGAAAAGAAAGGACGCACAATTGCAATGACAGATACACAGAGCTGGCCCAAAGAATGACATACTTTCTCACCTGGCCTGGGATGTTTTCTCACCTGTGCTCGTTCGATCTTCCTTGACGACTGTGGCTTGATGTGTCCCTCGACTTGGGATAGAATACATGCTGCCTCATACGAGGGAACGGAGGCAAGGATGACGGGAAGAGGATTGAAATGTGTTCGTGTCTGTAAGAGAATTAAAGAAGGCCATTGCAATTCGAAACACCAAACCAAACCATCAGCTGATAAAGGCTCCCCCTCCTCAGGCACAGGTCATCTGCATCATGCAGATGCCCAGGAATACAGTCTTAGACGCATTTCAACCTCTAAAAGAACAAAGCAAGAGCCCAGGAAGGAGCATGTTTGGTTCATTTGAGTACAAAATGTGTGTCAAGTTGGCCTCACGACATGACATTGAGAGCAAGATCGCAGAAAAAAAAAACTATGAAAGCAGTACAAAGCACTTAGTGTTAGGTGCACCATTTATCATACACACAGCACGCCACACTCACAACACAAGGTGCACCACACACAGCCCAAGTGCTTCTGAACCCCCCCAAAAGGTAGAACTCTGATTTCTTTTAAAAGTGAAATACATGTGCATTGTGCAGGGACGAGCAGTGCGAATGACTGAAACCAAATTGCATCATCCCATCAAAAGCCAGAGAGTCATGAGCTCGAACAGAAAGCAGAATGCACCAAGGTATACACCAAATAAGTGCAAAGCAATGAAGACGATTGACAATTTAAGCGCTCTTCTTGCCTCCACCATAAATGTTTCAATGTCACTCTCCTACATGGCGCTCAGTGCCCAGACTACAACCAGCAAGCTACTAGACTAGACCAGCTTCGAATGACGACAACATGACTTCATGAAGTGCACCCCCCGGTGGCAAATGACGTCGCGGACTCACGCGACCAATATCCCAATCACCAGGGACGTGACCTCACACACCACGCCTCGTCCCTGTCTTGTCCCACAGGCCCTTCTCCTCGGCCGAAGGACATCTGCCATTCCACATCGGCTTCATGTGTGAGCAGCCCGGATATGACTGCCACACTAGCTGCACCCAGCAGCTCTGACACCCGGCGCCCGTATGCGCTCTCCTTCCAGCCAGCTGCACAAAAGCTAGCCAGAATGAATGTGAGCTCTGGCTGCTCCTTTTCCTTTATGGGAAGCTGGCTGGCCGGCGAGGGGCTTGGCTGGCCTGGACGCGTGCTGTCCCAGTAGCTGCACCCCAGGGCCCGTCCAGCATGTGCCAGGGGCTCAACTGTAAGGGTCCTGGACCTCAGCATCTAAGGCTGGGCAGCATCTTCAACTGCCGGGCCCTACTGGGTAGCTGAAGATGCTGCGATGCAGCAACCAATCCACGAGGCCTTTCTGGAGCCCTCTCTTTCAGCAACCACCTCGGGGCCCCGTTCTCAGACTTGACAAACTTAGGCCGAAATGAAAATTCAGGCCCACCTTCACTTAGGGCGTGCACAGGGGCACTTTAAATTGCCGAGAGCTCAGATCCTCGCACATGGTGCAAAGGAATGTTTCAAGCAACATTTTTTGAAGAAAAACTCTCTAAACAAACAGAAAACCCTTTTCCTTCTTGGAAGTTGTTTTGATGATTGCAGCTGTTGTCATCAACACACCAGAAGTGTTGCAGGTTTACCACATATATAGGTGCTGTCTATCCATCTCTCTATCCACCCATCAAAAGAAGATCTATTGTTTAGAAATGACAAGTGGACCTGCCATGACGATTCCGCAGCCCAACAGAGCACACAGCCGAGAGAGAATCAAGCAAGACATCGGATACCAGGGAAGAGGTTTGTGTGTCTGTGTGTGCGTGTGTGTGTGTGTGTGTGTGTGTGTGTGCGTGTGTGTGTGTGTGTGTGTGTGTGTGTGTGTGTGTGTGTGTGTGTGTGTGTGTGTGTGTGTGTGTGTGTGTGTGTGTGTGTGTGTGTGTGAGAGAGAGAGAGAGAGAGAGAGAGTGAGAAAGAGAGAGGGAGGGAAAGAGAGAGACGAACAGGTCACAAAGAGAGAGAAAGACAGCAGAAGAAAGTCCAACGGAAGAGAGGAGCCACAACGAGAAGGCTATGGGGAAAGAGGCGAGGGGAAGCAAGACGGGGATGGCTGAACACAGGAGAACTGAACAAAACAGAGCAGATCGGAACCGAGGTTTGTAAGTTTACAGATGGATACATTTTTTTCTTTGCACGGAGAAATCCGTTCAATATCATGCGGAGAATATAAAAAGGAAATCGATTATTCAATATGAAGGAAATCGATTATTCAATATGAAAAGCCGAAAGTCCTTGTTCTTGTCCATCGTACCCGTCTTCCGTAATAAAATTAGAATGTCCTTGTCGTCGTCCATGGTGCCCAGCAGTTCCTCCTCCTCCATTGTTAAATTATCCTCCTCCATCTTCCTCGTGCTCTTCCTCCTACATCACCGCGTGGCCTCCCTCCTCCATTCTCCTCTTCCGTCGTTCTCGCGCTCTGCCTCCTACATCGCAGCTTCTTCTCCCTCCTCCATCCTAGCCGCCTCCTCTTCTTGATGCTTTCCTTCCTCTTATAGTGCCCTTCTCCTCCATCCTCCAAGTGCTCCTCTCCCTCTTGCAACATACCGTCCATTCATCCTCGTCATCTTCCTTCTTCATCATAGCCTCCTCATCCTCGACCCTCCATCTTGCCATCACCCTCCTCGCCATGCTCGCCCATTGTAGCTCCCTCCTCCTCCATCCTGCTCCACACTCCTCTTGCTGTTCCTAGTACTCCTCATCCTTCCTGTTTTTCTTCCTTTTCACTCTCCATCCTGGCCATGTCCTTTTTCCCCCTCCCCATCGTAGCGTCATCGTCCTCCTGCATCGCATCGCTTCCTGTCCATCCTGTTCCATTCCTCCTCCTCCATCGGAATGTCCTCCTCCCCCATCCCATGCTTGTCGCAGTTCTCCTCCTCCTCCTCCGTGCAGTTCTGCTCCTCTTCCGCCATCCTGCTGCGCCTGTTCGCTTCTTCAATTTCCTTTTACCCCTCCTCTTTTCTACGCCCCCTCATATTCCCTGCCAACTCCATCTCACGACTCCATCTCGTCGTCTATATCGTGTCAAGTTGAACTCTCATGCAGAACCTGCTCGGTGAAAGTAGAAGGCGGGTGAGGACGGGTCTAACTGTGGTAGTGCAGATGGATGTTCACGATTGAAAATATGATGATGCTAAATGATGACGGTCGTGGTCATGATGGCTGATTGTGATGATCGGTGATGATTGGTGATTGGTGATGATGGATGATGATCATGACTGAAGGCGGCGATCGTTGATTGGCGATTATCATGGTAATGATGTCGAAGACGATGACAGATGAAGATGGATGGCTGATGCCCTCCACTCTCGCTTCCTCGCAACATGCGAATGAACTGAGCGCCTGCAAGCAAGCTCGCACTGACGAAGCAGGAAGTGGGAAGCAACGCGTGAGAACAAGCGCACCGAATGCAAAGCACACATGCAGGATCAAATGGACCCTTCACGAACCCCACACGCATGCAACCGGCACCGGACCAGCGGCCGTGCTGGGGTCCAGTGCGGATCTTTCCAGAACTTCGCACGCATTGCCCAAAAAAAAAGGCGAGGCGCAAGTAGCGGTTTCCGCTGGGCCCGCCCCCTCCTGTCCCAAGCGTTTTCCCAAGAGTGGAAGTCAGGCCTCGCTGGTGCGTCACGCGAGACCCGACCTACACTTCAGTAAAAGTAAAAATATAGAAAAAAGAAAGAACATGTCTGATAAAAGCAATTGAAGTGTCGCCGACTGTCCTGGACTCCATCCACCCATCGAAAGTAGATCTATTATACTTACTCAGTTGATCCAGCAAATTCACGCTCTTCGAAAATTTTCAAGATTTTGGATTAATTTCTCAGAAACTTCAGAAAGGATTTTCCATTAATTTCACAGAAAGGAAATCGGTTTTCAACTTTTCACAGACATGAATTACCAAATTCACTGAAAAAGTTCAAGCTCACAGGCGAATTACTTCAAATTCGCATTAAAAAAAATCCAAATCGCGGAATATAGTCAATTTTACTGTACAACTCCCAAATTCCCGCACAGAGGGCTTGGTTGCTGCGACTCAGCAGGGGTATGCCACAGAGAGAGAGACAGATAACGGGTGCTGAGTCGTGACAACGAGTCGAAGATCACCAGGTAGCAGAAACAGAAGCAGCCTCTACCATGCAGAGTCTGCTCTTGGTTGCTGCGTGGTGCTACAGTGAGCGCTACTCATACCCAATGAACCAGTGAAAACGTTGCTGGATAGGGGCTAATATGACTGGGAGGGGTTGCAAATTCCTAACTCCCGCACACAGTAGAACTTGAATCCGTGAAATTGACTGGTGCGATGGCAAATCCAAAAAGACTTACCACGGATTTGAAATCGCTTGCGCGAATTGAGCGCCAAGGTCCGTTCTGGACGAAGAGGCCTGAAATCGAGGCGGACTTCCAGGTAACTGGAATCGACGCCGTGTGAAAACACGGCAGCACACCACGAAATAGCTACGAATGAAAGAACAAATCTGCTAAAAGCAGGTGCTGTTACGATCCTGGCCAATTTCGAAGTGCAAAATTCACGAGAATCAACTGCAAAAGAAATGAATGACCTTGAGAAGAGAGATAAAGGAGAAGAGGATGAACACCAGCAAACACCAATGATACTTCCTCCTCCTCTCACCAACCAACTCCTCCTTGCACCTCCACTCTTATTCAAACAATAAGTAACAATAATAATGATGAATGGCTGAACCAGAATCAAAGTCCGAACCCCAATTCTACTGCTCGGCATCAACAGAGGTCCACTATAGCCATGGCCTCCTTCCTCCTCGTCAACCAGGCTGAGGCTATGGCGGACTACTAAGGGCCTAGCCCTGTTGTGCAAAAGACAACACAGCTATGTTCGCTGCCTCTCAGGTCGCCATGCCTGACTCTGCCTTGAAGCCTTCTTGGTATGGCGTACCCCCACTGGGCCCTTCCAGATGCAGCGCCTAACTTGGTGATGAATATGATGTTCACCATAGCCAGTTAGGTACCTCGCCACTCTCCTCCTCAGTCCTCTTCTTCTTCCTCCTCCTCCTACCGGTAGGGCTCCACTATAACTGAGGTGGGAGCTCCCGCCTTCTTCCTTCTCCTAGCTCTGTAGCATCCAGCACTCTTCCTTCCAGCAGTGCCCTGAAGTCCAGGGCTGGCTCAAGCAGCATGACTCCGAAACTTGCATATCGCAAATGAGGCAGAGCAACTTGCTCTGCCTGGACATATAGCGGCCTACTTGCCTCTTGCGCCGTGACTTCCAGGCCGCAAGGTCTCCAAGCAACCAGTACCTCCTCCCTTTCGGAAGGAAACATCATTGTAGGCTCTGATATCATCCGCACAGGCCCTAGACTCAGGCTACTTGGACTGGTACCCGCCTAGACCTATCCAGCCAGCTACTGGGCCCCCCAAAAAACCTACTTTTGTCTTCTTCTGCTCGGCCTCCAGTCCCCGACACATCCATTGCTACTTGAGTGTTTTTCCCGCTGCTCTAAGTGTCATGGGCCTACCCCCGAGTGTTTTACCCAACCCTCAAAGTCACGGCCACAATTAAGTACCGGCCCTGCGGGGCCGCCAAACAAACAAGTGCCCTTGCAGGTCACAAACACGCAGACCGACAAGCACTCAGACAGGCACACAGACCAGCAAGCACGCGCACACACAGAAAACTAAGCAGAACGCAGGAATCTCAGCAAGGCATTCATTCCAGTGGCAAAACTCAGAAATCAGCTGTGCTCTCAGTCTGTGTTTTGATAGGTCATTACAGTGCGATGTTGCACGCTGTTCTGGACTGTCATCCACTCTCACACACTTAGTCGTGAAAAAGAGGAACTAGAAGCAGACTTCACACAACAAAAGTCCAGAAGTCCCCAAAAGAAACAAATGCAATGTACATTGAAACTTTGCACTTCTGTTTCCCTGTTGTTGTTTCTCATCTCTATGAGGTGACAAAATTGCTTTCTTTTCACAGTTTCTGTTTACCAATGTTTGTTTCTGCTTTATTGGTTCTTTTTCTTTTTTTTTAATTCACTTCTTGCGGTCTAGTGGGAAGTGTCCAAAAAATGTGAACCACCAGTATACGGCCCAGGCAATCGTGAGAATCGAAAGTGGCTCAGCTTCGCATGCAGGCGAATCTGCCTCGCAGAAAGTCTACGCTAGCGGTTCGGCAAAGCTTGGAATCGGCCTCGCAAAAAGAGGCTCGGATGTACTGGTGATTTGAGGTAAGCCACACGGCTGGGCGTGGCAGTGGGTAAGCATGCAGGCATGCAGATGAATGGGCAAACAAATGGATAGACAGACAGAGAGAAAACGAGATAGATCGACAGACAGAAAGAGAAAGAGAGGGGCGTTGCCGCAGTTTAGGCAAACAATACGCTGCCAAATTCTAATTTTTTTTAAAACTAAATCAGCCAAGTGTGCATCAAGAATTAATACTGTGTGCATCACAGTCACTGTAAGCAACAACTGCCCACCTTCCATACCTGTATATCAGCCCACTGTACCCCGGTAAGACATTGAGCATGGCACGCACCTTTACAAGGAGGTCGATTTCGGGACTGGGACGATGGCCACCGGTGAGTACAACGGCAGTAACGTTTGAAAGGGTGTGAGACTCGTGCAGATTGAGCATGCCCAGCAGAACATCTGCTCGATTAGCAGACGTGATTACACAGGAACCTTTACTTGGGTCCTTGTGGGTCGGCAGGTAGCAGAGCAAGTCAGATAACTGCATTGTGGCCACAATGAATTGTGTAACCTCTGCTGCCAGAGCGGACTGAAGATTCCCTCCATATAGCAGTTCTCCATTGAGTGCGTGAATAACATCATGAACCTGCAAGCAAGCAAATAAACATCATGTCCGATTCACGGCACCCGGCAAAGTCTATCAGTGCACATCCGTTTCCTTTTCCACTCCACACCCTCATGGATTTATTTTCTTTGCATGGCCAATGCAATGGTCGTCGGCAAGCAGAGAGCTCTATGTGCTTATTCCCCGAAACTCGGAAAATTCTGAAACACAGAACATCCCTGAATCCAAGACAACAAGAACCTCCACCTCAGAATTGCCAAACTTCCCCCGACTCCATCCGTCCATTCATGTTCTTCCCCACTTCACACCTGCACCCTCACAACATCCTCTTTCCTGTTTTCCAACTCTGAAACAGAGCTAACTTCCTCCCTCTTAACCACACAATTTCCGGCATTGCCATACGAGGAAGACAATGTTGTAGAAATATTTTAACAGTCCCACTTTCTGGACATTTGCCATGGCACCTCGTAAGGCTCAACTACCCTATGTGCAATTCCTCTCAGCCTATGACCACCAACAGTGAAGTCAAACAATAACCACAAGAAGTGAACACAGATACACCAAATAGTTCCAGATTGCCCCATAAAACTACAACAATCTATCCGTTGTATATGGGCCCATCTGATCTTATGTACGACACCCCACCCCTCCCCTCCATGCACAAACACACAAATGTGCACACAAAGAACAATGTGCGAGGACGCACAGGCAGGCACAGACGTAAACACAAAGAGGGGACTGAGAAACACACCTGTATGGAGGTGAGAGAGTTGTCCTCCGGTATGGCACCTGCAAAAGGGATGCTGTGCTCTTCGAACTTGAGTGCCAGCTTTCTCATCCGCATAGGGCTTAGGCTGAGGGGCATTCTGTGAATAAGCGACCCCAGGCAGTCAACCCCTTCATGTGAGAACACAGCATGACTCAGAAGAGTGGCATTCACAACCTCCCTCTCCCATTCTCCATCCTCCCATTCCTCGCGTGACTTTTCGGTTCCCGCCACACCCCCATCAGTCACCAAGAGGACAGGTGTTCCAAGTGCGCCTGCAATTTTTCCATTCAGGATCGACATATCTCTTCCGTCCTTCATGCTTGCTCCCTCCACCACAACGAAGTCATGATTCTTCTTGTAAGTTTCATATGCTGCCAGAAGCAATGAACAATACAACGGGCACACACTTCCCCATGCCCCATCCCCAATCAACAAGAAGAAACAAACAGAAAAACAACAGCTTGTCGGCTATCTGCCACAGGAAATATGCAGGCAACCCCCGTGAACAAAAAGCAACAAGAGAGAGAGAGAGAGAGAGAGAGAGAGAGAGAGAGAGAGAGAGAGAGAGAGAGAGAGAGAGAGAGAGAGAGAGAGAGAGANGAGAGAGAGAGAGAGAGAGAGAGAGAGAGAGAGAGAGAGAGAGAGAGAGAGAGAGAGAGAGAGAGAGAGAGAGAGAACACACGTGAGAATTATGTCAGCTCGTGAGCAGAAAGCAGCATGAGAAAGGAGGAAAATGCCCATGAGAATTTTTTGCGGCTTGTTTTTCGTCCTGCGACTTTTCACTCTTCAAGAACACAGGAAATACACACAAGAACACAGAACGAACCAGTGGGGAAACACGTGCACGGAATGAACCAGCAGGAAAACCTGAAGTTCATTCGCCCTTTTTCATTGGGCCCACCAGCCTGCCTTCCACATCGCACTACCGGACCTTCCCCGAGCCACAAAATCTTCGCAGAGAGCCATTCGTGTTTCTGAAGTTGCCTGGGGCCATGTACTGGTGGTTATGAAACGAAAATGGTGAAATTCAGCCTTCCGCCGTCATACATTTACGCTTTCCATCTTCATATGCTAGATCCAATACGACTAGGAGTCAGTCGAGCTGCTCGCCTCAGGAACTAACTAGATTTTCAAATGAAATTAAATTGGGTGAGTACTGGGCCTACTGGCATATTAGCATGAAATCAATCATGCTCTCCTCTTTCTCGTCGGTCATTATGGGGTCGATGAAGGCGCTCACATTGATTGAATTGCTTTCTTTTCTACATACAATCCAAAAAGCAAAACAGAAAATAAGGGATGGAAAGTTTCGCACACGCACGGACGCTGAAGGTGCAGAACGCCGTTCCTCGATGGCAGGGCAGAAGTTGAAAAAAAAAAAAAAAAACACTTGTGCGAGGATCTGACTCCTCGGCATGCCCGTATGGGGGTGCAAGCCTTGTTTGCGCCCTACGTGAAGGCGGGACCCGTATCCGAAGGAGGCCCGGATATTGCAAATTTGCAGGCCCTGCTGGGCGCCAGACAGTTAGAGCCAGGTGAGGAAAGGAGGCGCCAGACAGTTAGAGCCAGGTGAGGAAAGGAGGCGCCAGACAGTTAGAGTCCATTCTAGAGTAGTGAGGAACGGATGCCCTCCACACTTCATACCTTGCCTCTATTCTGATCTTTCGTCTTCTAGAGTCAGCACTTCATACCTACTGATGATATTGGATGAGTCAGCACTTCATACCGCTGTGCGGTCCCCCTTTGTGTGGCTGAAGTACAGGTCGTACAGCAGGAAATACTGCCCACCCTAATAGCTGGCCAGAATCAGATTCTGGCTGCACTGAGAGCTCCTACCGTCTTCACCCGAATAGAACGCCCGGTCATTATAGCTGCATTTGGCCCAACTTTCAGTCCAGATGCAGCGATAATGACCGGGCGTTCTATTCGGGTGAAGACAGTAGGCCTTTGGCTAGGCCAACGCAACCCGCTGTAGCTCCTCCAGCAGTGGCTGGACCATCCATGTCGCTGACGTTAATCCAACTGATTGATTGCAAAATGGCTGTTACTTTGTCTAGGCATTGTCTACCGGAGAAAGTCGGATTGGTCAGGATGGACCAGTTTGATAAGGAGGAGGTTGGGGTGGCATGCAAGAGTCTTAGCTAGAATTCTGCCATGAACATCGAGAAGCAATAAGGGGCAGTAGTTTTGGACATCAGATTTGTCTGCTTTCTTATATAGGAGAGTAATGACACCCTCTGCTGTACATGGGCCCAACAGGCGACCACAGAGAATTTGATTGACAACCCTTAGTAGGTCGGGGCAACCAGAGTCGAAAATCAAAGGTAGCATTCGACCGGCAATCCATCCGCCCCCGGGCATTTGCCCTTAGCAGGCCCTCTTGTGAGGGATCCACTATTAACAGCTGCCATTAGTTCCCACATTGTGATAGGCTTCTCTAGGGATGCAGATTCTTCGCCTGAGTGGATTTAGTGTGGAGCCCCATAGCAGGCCCTCTAGTGAGGAGGGATCCACTATCGGGGCGTCCGGGTTCTTTTCGGATGTTCGTAGGTGCTTGTAGAAAATTTTGACATATTCACACAGTTGGGTGGGTGGACTCTCTTGCTCGAGGTTGGTCTGAATCAATGGGGTGGCTTAGCTGTGTGATGAGGGTGTTATTGTGGCGGATTGCTAAGGACGTCTTATGGCTGTAACTAGTATGCCTGTGCGTTTCCTATAAATTATGGTTTCTGATGTGATGGTCCTGCCATTCTTGTAGAAGCCTACATCTTTTCAATGGTTCACCGAGTCCGGGAAAACGCAGTCTAAAGTCTTATTTTCAGTTGCTCGATTTTTCTCCTGATCTGTATGTCTTCGAACTTCCTGTTCACTGCCTTGACTCTTGACATGAGGTTCAGTTGATTAGAGATGAGAGTGAGGCCTTTCTCAGCCACAGCCTGTCATGTGGTGTGCGAACACCAACGCCACTCTTCCCAAGTTTTCCATACCTTGCCTACCATCCCTGCATTCTCCAAGGGACATGCATGCTCAGTCTGAAGAGACCTTTACCTCTAGTGGCTCTAGTCTGAACAGACCTTTACCTCTAGTGGCTCCAGTCTGAAAAGACCTTTACCTCTAGTGGCTTAGAGGCCTAGGTTAAAGTCTATAGTAGGTTAAAGTCTATAGTGACTGGTTTATGGTCCAAGAGGGGCTCTATGTTGATTTCAGCTGTGTTGACCAAGTGCAGAGCATTATCATTAGTAAGGATAAGGATGATGTATAGTCTTCTTTTGGTGAGGGTTCTAAATTCGGAAGGGGTTGAGGATCTCCCAGTGAAGGCATTGTTGTCCCGGTGTAGATAGTGACAGGGATAGGTTTCAAAGAGACCATTGTCTATCATAAGATCGAGTACTGCTACAGACTTTCCGGTGTGACAGAGGGGAGTGGTAGAGTCAAGCTGCCTGTTGAGGACTGTATTCTGCTGGTCCCCACCAATAACTACAAAGTCCGCTAAGCGCTCCCCCAGCTTTGACCCTGATTTCGAGCACAAACCAAAGTTGGGTAATGGCCCAGTCTCTCCCCCACCCTCAATTTTACACACAGTGGTAAATTTCATTTTTTGATTCCTCCACCCTCGTCCACCCTCAATTTTGCACTTTCAGGCTCGGCAAATTTCATTTTTTGGTTTGTAAATTTAGCTCCCTCTCACGTGAATATATATAGCTCTCTGCTTTTGTAGATGATGCGGCGAGCGTCAGGCCTGTACTAGCAGGCTCTTCTTTGGTTATGGTAGAAAATATTTTCCTAATTCTCTTGCTACCATTTCTCCTTTTTTTGCTTTATTCTTCCCCATTTACGGGGTATTTCGTTTTGCGGACCTACTGTATGGTTCCGTTTCTTTACGATGGACATGGTAGAATTTGTTTTGGTAACCTTGTCTGCATCCCAGTTGGTTTGGTCCCGTTGTTCGGTCTATTTCGGTGAGCATAGCGGTGCTTTCATGTGGGACCAGTCGTCCGGGTTCTCTTTTATTGTCTTGGCATCCTAGTTGGTTGCTTCCCGTTGTTCGGCCTGTGTGGGGGCGGTGCTTTCATGTGGGAATCGGCATCTGGGATTGTCTTTTATGTTTTTTGTCCCAGCAAGAATGGTTTACAAATGGGAATACCCACGTCTTGATGACGAACAAGGCCATCTGCTGTATATAGATATGTAATCTGGGATTTCTCTTTTTTCACAGACAAGAGTTTTGTGAGGGGGCGGTGCTTTCGGCCTGTGTGAGGGGGCGGTGCTTTCATGTGGGAATCGGCATCTGGGATTGTCTTTTATGTTTTTTGTCCCAGCAAGAATGGTTTACAAATGGGAATACCCACGTCTTGATGACGAACAAGGCCATCTGCTGTATATAGATATGTAATCTGGGATTTCTCTTTTTTCACAGACAAGAGTTTTGTCCTGGGTGGTCTTGTCCTGTCGTTTGGCCTGTGGAGGAGGGGCGGTGCTTGCATGTGGGACTTGTCATCTAGAATCCGTTTTTGGTGCTATTGCTTGTTGCCCCCTGTTTTGTTGTATTTGGATGTTCCCTTCCTCTTTTCTTTGCCTTCGAAAAATATTCAAGAGTTTCGCGGCTCTTCAAATCTGCGGAAAGCGAATCCGTTTTCACAGACATGAATCGTCAATTTCACGGAAAAAGATCCAGCCTGCGGACCCAAAAAATGTTTTCAAATCCACATAAAAGAAATCCAAAATCGCGCAACAGAATACTCAATTTCACTCTGATCAGTTTCACCGTAAAACTCCCGAATCCGCTTAAACGCTGAGTCAAAAATTTCCCTACAACCCTGAGTTAATCGAGATCCCTCTTTAAAAAAAAAAAAAAAAAAAAAAAAAGGTCATGTAAAAGGATGTCCCCTTTCGCGAGTGACGAGTTAACCCGGCTGCCCGGCGTACCCATATGCCGCAAACTGTCTGACGCGAGGGTTTATAGGAACGAAAGAAAAAAAAAAAAGAAAAAAAAGACGTCCCACTACGGATATCCAAAACGTCTCGCCGATGGCATCATGGTCAAATTCACACCATTGTAGGTAAGACGCTATGATCTTCCGCCTGTGTACACCATCAATTTTCAATTTTGTTGTACCTCTGCGGACAGCGTACCATTGAACAGGTTTCGACCCAAAGGTATGGCACACAAAGAGAGAGAGAGAGAGAGAGAGAGAGAGAGAGAGAGAGAGAGAGAGAGAGAGAGAGAGAGAGAGAGAGAGAGCTTGGATAATGAATCGTGACCACGAGATGAGGTAGAAACGAAAGATGGCTCTACCGTGCAGTCTGCTCGTGGTTGCTACTTAAGGTGCTACAGTGAGCGCTACTTATATACTAGCCAATGGCCAAGTGAAAACGATGTAGGAGAGTGCTCATATGACTACGCACCGGGTTGTGAAAAAATTCGTTCATAGAGTAACTCCCGCGCGAAGACGAACTCGAATTTTTCAAAGAAATCGACTGGGCGCCATGGCAGATTCGTTTGAAAAATCGCTAGCTAGCGCAAATTGGGCGCGCCAAGGCCCGTTTCCGACAAATAGCCCGAAATCGCCTACTCCCGCGCGAAGAAGAAACTTGAGCTCCGGCGAAATCGACTGGCGCCATGGCACACAGTCGTTTGAAAAATCGCTACCTAAGTATAGCGCGAATTGAGTGCCAAGGTCCGTTTGGGACAAAATGGCCCGAAATCCCGGTACACTCCCTTTTTTTTTTTTCTTCTTTTTTTTTTTTTTTCAAAGTCCATCATCATTTTATTATAAGCCGGGAAATGGGCCCACCGTCACCATATATGTCTTAGTCCTCCCGACCTGGTTGATCCCTATTGGAATTGGATTGGAAAGAGCGAAGGCTAATCACAGCGTCGACTGAGATCAGCGGCACGCGACACATAAGTTACTCTTCTGCAACACCAAGAGTATCTCTTCGAAAGATCTGCAACAAAGCTCAAGAGGAAGCCATAGCCAGGCTAACCCTGGTGATGGCTGTCTGGCTTCCCTCGACTGGTTGATCCCTAGCCACAGTAAAATTCCGATCAATGAACACTAAAACTTCAATATGTCTAATACAGAAATCAAAACACAAGTCCAATGCCCTATAGTCCAATGGCCCTATAGTCCAATGCCCTATAGTCCAATGCCCTATAGTCCAGTGCCATATTCAAATCTTTACCTCTTTCTATTCAAATCTTTACCTCTTTCTATTCAAATCTTTACCTCTTTATAATCCATATCAGTCTATGTCGACACTATCCGGCTCACCTAAACACAAGACCAAATGCTTTTAACAACTTCCATCACCACTCTCGAAATGTGCAAAAGCAGAGTGAATATTCCGCAAGAAGCTGGAAAGGTACGCCGCCATGATTTTTGTCTTTTGTGCATGTCGTCGAGAGTAGTGGAGCGAGGCCCTATACATTACCTCATGTAGTGTTATTGTGAAACCATTCATACACTATGATCTACATAAATACATACATATATAAATGCAAACAGCCTATTTCCAACGCGTTCCAAGTACACCCACCAAAACTTGAGCGGCGAAAAAAAATGACCACGGAACAGAAACTCTATTCACGAACTACTTAGTGATTATTTCAAACTTACAGTACATACACCATCAAACCTACATGCATTTGCGCACATTTTTTCTTTTGCGCACATTTTTTTTGTGCACTCGGAAGTTCATCTTTCATGTACCAGAGAGTTTGGGAAAATCAACTTCCCAATCAAAATATGGTTTTGTCGTGCACGGAGTTTAAAGTGTCTTTTTTTTTATGCTTCCGTGTAGAGAGCTCTTTTTTTTTTTTTTTTTTTTTTTTTTTTTTTTTTTTTTTTTTTTTTTTTTTTTTTTTTTTTTTTTTTTTTTTTCCGTGTGTTAGAGAGTTTGGGAAAATCGGACTGGGTCAGGAGATCCGCCAGAATAGGCACACTGCACATACATAGATTGAGAAAACGACACTTTCTCCGAACGCCTGCAAAAATAACACAGAGAGAGATATAGGTGGATAGATGGAAGAAACTACTAGTATACTGAGATGAGACAGGCACAAGAAGATAGATGAAAGATAAATAGAACTGAGAAACAGAGAAACTGAGGACAAGAGAGCTGATCGATAACGGGGTAGAGAGAGAGAGAGAGAGAGAGAGAGAGAGAGAGAGAGAGAGAGAGAGAGAGGCGACGGAGATGCAGAAGGTAAATAGAACTGAGAATCAAGCAAGCAGAACGATGCAGAGAGCAAGACAGGAACGATCAACAGCAGCAGCCATCAACATTTTCAAACAGAAGCTGCAGATAAAACAGACCCCTTTTTCGGAGTAGGCTGAATTCCCATTTTTCCCAACACTCAGAAAGATAGTGGTGGTTTCAGATCGCCAAAGGTATAACACTGCCAATTTTGGCCAGGCGACAAAAATTTAGATAACAGCACGGTCAGGCGGACAAAATGAGACACGCACAGAGAGAGAGAGAGAGAGAGAGAGAGAGAGAGAGAGAGAGAGAGAGAGAGAGAGAGAGAGAGAGAGAGAGAGAGAGCTAGTACTCTTCGCCCTGTGTCGGTGGAGCAACCGTCACTTCTTCTCTGGCCGCCCCCGAGCAATCCCCCAACCACAAGAATGCCCATAGCATCCAATTCATGCGAGTAGCTAAAAACCCCTACCTTCAAAAAAAAAAAAAAAAAACTACCTAGAGAAAGCAGCGTAGCGAGCGGACCTACTCTCGGTTCAAATTGCGCCAAGACGGACGACGGCAGGAATGATACGATACGATATGATACGATCAAGCATCACCATAGAACGATGATTACGAAACGAAAACGACCACGCCCTCGTCATGACTGTATGGAAGTGGAAACATGGAAGTGGAAACATGGAAGTGGAAACATAGCTCACACAGATATTACCCTTAAGGGGGAAGCCGGGAAGGGGGACCGCCAGAGAGCCCTGAAAGTCTCTCCGATCAGGAATGGAGCCAGCGACAGAATCTGACGTGAACGCGTGTGCGTGAACAGCGAGGCGAAGGTGATTGATCGACTGACCGATTGACTGATTGATGGCAAGGGAATGCACCGGGTAGTCTCAACGGAAGGATACACTCAGCACTCCTACACTTTCGGCGAGCGATCGAAGATTCAGGGCATCTAGAAGGGAAAAAAAAAACGAAGAGAGCGCAGAGCAAAAACACAATGTTCAGGGCATATAGACGAAAGGGTAGGGGAGGGGAGGGAAGAGCGCAGGAAAGAAAAGTGTACGAGGGCCCAAAAGACGAAAGGAGAGGAGAAAAAAGAGCAGTTGAAGCGGAGATTGCAATCAACCAAGAAAAGCGGCTGAAGAAATGAGAGACGCGGTAAAGACAAGAAGGGGGAATGATCACTGATCAGGAAAACGCGCAGAGGGGGGGAGGGGGGAGGGGGGAGGAAGGCCATTGATTGCCGACCTTTGAGGATCTCTTCGAGCATGTCGTCGAGCTTGTCTTCCGCGAGAGCGTCGTATGCTTCGGAGTCTGTCACACCCTGCATGCTCTTGATGTCATCAGCCAGTTTGAACACGCGTTGGACAAGAGTAGTCCTGAGACCGCCGCTAGATGTGGAGTCGATAGGACGGAAATAACCGATCCCGGGAGCGAGCCGCTCAAGCGCATGGACAAGGCCAACCGTGACCGCGGCGGAATCACGCCCACTGCCCCCGCGAGTGTGATGAATATACATGCTGTCCGTGTGAACGCCACGTGCCCTCGTCCCGATACCGCCGCCCGATCCGAGGGCGGTCACCCGCCCTCTCTCCTGCCATCTTCTCAAAGTTTCCCACGCACTTCGTCTATGTCGACCTCCACACTCTCCGCTCTCACTGCCCCTCCTCACACCCCCTCTCGCAGCGCGGATCGCCGCGCGCCCCAGCATACGAAACATCTCTCTCTCTCTCTCTCTCTCTCTCTCTCTCTCTCTCTCTCTCTCTCTCTCTCTCTCTCTCTCTCTCTCTCTCTCTCTNCTCTCTCTCTCTCTCTCTCTCTCTCTCTCTCTCTCTCTCTCTCTCTCTCTCTCTCTCTCTCTCTCTCTCTCTCTCTCTCTCTCTCTTTTCACAGATCCAATATACGGATGTAGAATGCGTATGCGAGACAAACTTCGCTTCGCCTTCTCTCCAGACGTTCCTTTCAACCCAAGCCCCCGTTGCCCTCCTCCCCACCCTCCCCCTCCCGCGCCCCCACCTTCTTATTAAGTATATCCTATTGCAGAACATCCGTCAGCTTGAACTCCTGCCTTGTCTACAACAAGATCGATCGATCGATCGATCAATCGATCGGTCGATCCACCATGTACATACCACGGGCCCGACTACGGCTCACACGTGGCGAACACCCCCGCCAACACTGGCCGTACAACGTGTCGACATCAAGTTTCCCTCGACCCGCCGACCGTATATATATCTATATCGTGACATGAATATCAGAGCGCAAAGGCGGAAAAAACAGAAGAAAACAAGAAAAAAATAATTCGTTTTTTTTATCTTCTTTCTTACAACTCCCCCTGTTCACAATATATATATATATTTCTATATATACATACGTAATCTATTATAATTCCCCGTCGATCTGTCTTCAGCTCCCGCGTTCCTGCACTTCACCGTCACTTTGCACACTGGAAATCACCATAACCATCAACCATCATCGCCATTACTCTTCCTTCTTGCTCCAGAGGAGATCCCTCCACTACCTTTTCATTTTCGCTCGCTCGCTCGCTCGCTTAGCCCTGCTGGCAATCGCCGCTGCCAACACGGCTCCGAACCGCTTGGCAGGGACTCCACGGTGGACCTGCGAGCGAGGTTTTTTCTGACTCCCTCCCTCCTTCGAGTAAAAATCTTCCCAAAGACCACTCCGTCGGTTGCACTTTTTTGGGCCTCGCTCCACTACTCCCGCCATGCACAAAAGACAAAAAAAAAAAACATGGATGTGTATCCTTACGTGTTCTGGCGGAAGCTTCACTCTCGTTTTGCACATTTCGACAGTAGTGGAGCGAGGGCCTTAGGCCCTTTCTGCTTGGCCTCACGTCATTCGAGACGGAAAACGAAACGAGCGCATCCTCCCACAGAAATGGAATGATTCTTCCATTTCATATGAAATATTAATGTAATGAAATATTAAACGATATATTTCGCCGTAGACGATCGCCACACAGGCACAGCTGTCAGAAAAAACTGTCAGAAAAAAACTCGAAAGTTGGTGGTCGACAGTTTACCCCCCGTTTACCCCCCCTTTCGCCACACAGGCTGTCAAGGGGGGGCAAGGTTTTTTCGGCATATGGCCAAATGGACTCCCCCAGCCTTTCCACAGGGCACGGCCGTCACGGAACAGTCCCTGACTGACAATGCAAATCGAACGCAACTCTCGAAAGGCAGGTGAGTGGGGCACTATATCGAATTTTCCGTCTCCTGCAGGCGGGCGGAAACGAATAGGGAAGGGTGGCCGTCGAGCGAACCATTCTGACACCTGTTGAAATTTTTTTGACACCTGTTGAAATTGTTTTGAGCCGCAATTCTTCGAAAGTCTGTGTCGCGATGCAAACTTGTCGAAAACCCAAAAAAAAAAAAAAAAAAAAACAACCTTGTCGACAGCCTGTTTGGCGAGAGTTTGTGTGGGCTGATTCATTCTTCTCTGTTTCGTTTTTTCGTTTCGTGTGCCGTGCGGGGGTGAGCGTGGTGGCTCATGAATGACGGCCTTCCAGCATCGTCATCAAAACGGCCAGGTATCGTCATCGAAGCGACCAGACCGCAGCTTCTGCAGACTTTGGGCCTCTCGCCACTACACAATATTCTAAATGTATACCGACCGCACGACAGTCCCAGTACGTCCAAAATGCTCCATCAGTCCCAGCGTATCCGGCGCACGGAACCGTCAAGATACGTACAAGGTATCGTCATCAAAGCGACCAGGCTCAGGTAGTCGCTATGGATCCAAAATGTTCCATCAGTCCCAATGCACCGAGTCCGTGGCGTAGTCCAAATACCTATAGATGTTGAGTAGTGGGGCCAGGGCTTTTTGCTTTTTATTTTTTGGGGAAAGGGCCAGGGCTGTTTCCTCCACTGGCTTGGGGAGTTTCTCTTTTTCAGAAATATTTGTTTCCTTCATCGAGTTCCATCGCCTGGGGCCGGGACCGACTAGCAATTCTCCTGGAGCAGACCCTGTGGTTGGTTACAACTCCCACGGCCCGGGTTTTCATCCCTGCAGACCCAAAGTTCCAACCGCATGGGAGTTGTCTTTTCATTCCTAGACATCACGACTACGGTTGATTTACTTCATCTACAGTTGGCCAGTTTCTTATTTTCATCTGTTATTCTATTTCTTCAAGATCTACGGTGGGAGCATCTACCCAGCAATATCATTGGCTCCTCTCGAGGTACCATTGGGACTCACCCAGCAGGAAGCAGTCCCTCGGCAGTCCGACCTCCACTACTTCCAGGAGCAGCAAGAGCATAATTAACTGGCGCAGGACCGGTCGCAGCAGACTGCGTCAACTCACGCTGCGCGCTCTCCGGACTCGGACTCCTTCCGCCAACCGCTGCGCCCATCGTGCAGGCAAACCTGCAAGTCACATCAAGACAGTCAGCCAGCCGCTTTGAAGAGAGGTGGTTCACATCGCATTTGCCAAGTACAGTGCACCCATCGCATTCGCACTCACTCTCCAAGCGATTTTTCACTCGCACACATCTGCACCTAGCCATTCTATCGGCGATCTTGTAACCCCTTTCCGCTACTGGACTGCTTACGGCCCACTTTTTTGTAACCAGCCAGTGCAGCTACTTATTCACTGTCCGATATCTCTCGCTACTGGCCCTCTCCCCGCCCCATCGCCCATCCTCGTCCTTCCTCCATCCTCCTGCCCGCTCCTCTTCCCCCTCCCCACGCTCCGTGTCTCCCTCTTTCTCATACCACTCTCCTTCGCCAGAGCAACCACCTTTTTTCAACCCTTTCCTTGAACACCATTTCTCTTCCCATCTTTTATTGCAGTCCTCCTCACCCACTCCTTCTCATCTCCTTCTCCAACAATTCGCAGCCCTCATATACTTCCCCACCTCCTGAAACTCCCCGCCTATAGCCACGGATCCAAAATTAGATGAATCTTCGTCATAAATCCCCCAACCACCTCGTTGCTACCTCTCGATCTTTTCTCCCTCCCTCTCGTCATCCCCACTTCCCTCATCAAGCTTCAAGAAAGGAAGGTGGAAATCAAGCATGGCGCGATCCTCAATGTAGACGACGTCGCGCGGTTCTGCAACGACGCTGCCAAGTTTAGATTTCAGAACGGGGACAAGTTTCTCCTCGTCATCAAGCGCAAGAGAGTTGCGGAACTCCTCTCCTATTTGCTCTTCTCCACCACGCTCTTCCATCTCATCTCCATCGACTTCATACCACTCTCCTCGCTCTCTCCAAGGGAACTTCTCAGAGCTCGGCTGGATCTGGCAGAATTCCAGGTGGTGTGTGCATGCAACATCTCAACGAACTTCTATTGTCTTGCCATTGTATCGCTTGCATGGGCAACAAAGCTTCCTACACTTGGGTTAAAAAGGGTCTTCTCTCATTGGCGGACAACCTTCCTGGATTGGTCACCTCGTCGTTCCTCGCTTTTCCAATCACGACTTTCCTTAAGGATTTCTTCAGATCGCGCTGACAAGGGGTCTGACCCCTAGTTTAGATTTTTAAGGAAGAAAACCTTCAACAATCGCTCGAACTACGTTCGTCATCCACTCCTTCCGCTAGATCCATCTCCTCCTTTCCGTCCTGAGTACCCTCGTTTCTTTTTCCACCCCTCAAAGGGTAGTAGAAAGTGTCAGAGCTTCAGGGAGGACGCATGCCAGGATGCCGAGGAAGACAGCCAAACCTTCGCCGCAAAACCCCTCCAAGAAGAAGAAGTCGGGAAAGACTGCAGTGGAGGAAGCCTCGTCTTCCGATTCCCCCCCCTCTCCCCCTCAAAAACTTCCCCTCCAACCTCTTTTTCTCGTCACTAAACCCCCTTTTCCCCAGCTCTTAACCCTCTCTTCCCCAACCTCCTTCGTACACCAACCCAAAACCTCTAGGCAAAAACGGAAGCCGAGTTTTTGTAGGAACCTAGACATCTTGATCTTCGTAATCCTCCTCATCTTCTTTCTCCTTCATCTCTTCACTTTCTTCCTTATTCTCCCCAAATCTACTTATAATCCCTGATTGCCTTAATATGTGATCTGTACAATCGCCCCTTCAACCATTTGATAAGATACTCTCAATTTTAAGTGTGGCAATTTCGTCATAATTATGGTTTCTATATGAATTTTAGCTTATGCTTTTTCTGCATGTGAATGATTTATCCTTTCCTTCTGCTAAAAAAAAATAAAAATAAATAAATAAATATATACATACACAGGGTTGTCTGTGTTCGAGACGGGCCGAACGCCCGAACCCGAACGCCCGAATATACGGGACCCCTTCGGAAGGTGTTCGGTCGGTCAGCCGAACGCGGACAAAAAAAAAAAGAAAAAAAGAAAACAAAGTTTTCCAAAAATTTCGAAAAATAAAATATGTTATGGAGACAGATAAACTAAACAACATTTGCCTGGGCACTGTATCCAAATTCTTTACCAAATTTGAATTAAAAATCAAATACAGAAAATAAACAATGTGATAAAAATAAAAAATAAATAAAAAGAGAATTAAAATGAGTGATTGTGCCAGCACCTTTTTGACACTACAATCTTTGCCGATTTTTAATTATTTTTTGGCATTGAAAAATGCCCTGAAAATTTACAGATATGTAGTTTACATAATCAATAAATCATTGATTTTTTTTTTTTAATTATAATTTTTTTTATGCCCAGAAATAAAGTGAAAACAAAAAGTTAAAATTGAAAAAAAAACAAAATAGTGAGTGGTCGAGCATGTTTTGACACCCCCATCTTTGAAGATTTTTAATGTTTTTTTGGCTTAGCAGAATGACTTCAAAATTTATATGCGTGTAGTTTACATCATAGAGAACTCACAAAAACAAATTCAGAAACAAAAAATTATTTTTAGGCCCCGAAAAGTTTTTTGGCGAGGGCCAAACCTGGAGGTGTTCGACCCCCGAACGGGACCCCGAACGCCCGAACATTCGGTCAGGTAACCCTATATATATATATATATATAAAGATTTTCAATAAGTAGGGTAATCATCAATAACAGTAACCTTCACTTACCAAATATGCAAACCACTCACCTCTCAATACCAACATCAAGTCTTCCCCCCCCCCCCCCAAAAAAAAAGGGAGGGGGGGGGGGGAAGAAGGGCATGCGGCGAAGGGGCTGCGCTATTAAATCTTCGCAACTCTAAAATTTTGTTGTAAGAAGAAAAAAAAAAAAGGTGGAATGGAAAAAAAGGGAACGTAGCCCGACGATCTCCGCATCCTTTCGGCGCTCTCACCGTCGATGTTTATTTTGAAACCACCACAGATTTAGCCCTACGGATTTATCGCTTGCCTCTAATCAAGCTCTCCTTCATTAATTCATCTCCCTGTCTTACAATCTACTAGATGCATGGGTAGGTCTTATATTCAAAAGATATTTTTTTCTTTTCGATGAAAAAAAAACAAAAAAAACAGAGAATTTATTGTAAACGTAAGCATCATCTCCAAGGAAGGAACACAACATAACAATCTCTGCACCCTTTCGGTTCCTCTTTTCGTCGATTTGTATTATGAAAGCAGCGTAGTTTTAGCACTATAGATCCACTATTTGCGC